TGCTTACTAAATTTTGTAGAAATGGGAAGCTACCTAAGTCTTTATTATCTTATTTTGTAGCACTTATGCCAAAAGTGTCTTGCCCACAATAGATATCTGATTTTCAGCCTATCTTATTATTAGGTTGTCTTTATAAGATTGTTTCCAAGCTTTTGGCAAATAGGTTGAAAGGAGTTTTGAATTCAATAATTTCAGAAGAACAATTAGCCTTTATCCTGGGAAGGAACATGTTAGATAGTGTACTTGTGGCTAATAAAGCAGTTGATTATGTGCGGAGGTATAATAAGAGGTGTTTTGTGTTAAAGCTTGATTATGAGAAGGCGTATGATTTGCTAGAGTGGGGATATCTTTTGTTTATGTTACATAGCTTTGGATTTTCAGACAAATGGGTCAGTTGGATGGAAGCTTGTGTGTGTGGGGGAAGCCTATCAGCTTTGATTAATGGTTGTCCTACATTGGAGGTTCATATTGAGCGGGGCCTAAAACAGGGGGATCCTCTTGCCCCTTTTCTTTTTCTTGTGGCAGCGGAAGGGTTAGGAGTTCTTATGCGGAAGGCAGTGACTTGTGGGTTGTTCTCTGGTGTGACGATTGGGGAAGGGGACCAGATATTTCTTTGCTGCAGTTTGCGGATGACACATGGATTATGGGAGAGGCTTCGGTGCATAATTTGTGGACTTTGAAAGCAGTATTGCGTAGCTTTGAATTAATGTCAGGTATGAAAATTAACTTTCATAAATCTTTTGTATTGGGGATTAACACTGGTGATGACTTTGAAAACTTGGCTGCGGAGTTCCTACATTGTAAGATTGGTAGTTTCCCATTAAAGTATCTCGGGTTACAGTTAGGTGTTAACCCGAGAAAGCCTAGTGCATGGAAGGGTGTGTTAGAGGCTCTTAAAAAGCGGTTAGCGTCATGGAAGCATAGGTATTTATCGATTGGAGGTAGGGTGACTTTGATTAATGCCGTTCTTAATTCTATGCCATTGCACTCGTTATCCTTTTTTAAGGTGCCGAAGTCGGTAATAAAGGAAATTGTCACTATCCAACGGAATTTTTTATGGAAGGGTGTTAAGGATGGATCTAAAATCCCCTGGGTGAAATGAAAAACTGTATGTAGACCGCGGAAGAATGGTAGCTTGGGCATTAGGAATGTGCAGTGGTTTAATTGGGCGCTTCTTGGTAAATGGTTATGGCGAGGTGTTAACTGTTCTAGTTCATTGTGGGTGCGGGTGTTGGAATCTAGATATGGAAGATTAGCTTCTTCTCTTTAGCGTTCATCAGTTCACAACAGATGTTCTTTGTGGTGGCGTGATTTGCTGGAGGTTATTCATCAAGGGAATTCATGGCTGGATGAGAAGTTTGATAGAAGTGTGGGTGCAGGTTTACACACTCTTTTTTGGAGAGATAAGTGGGTAGGAGGGGTGCGATTGTGTGAAGCATTTCCGCGATTATTTGCAGTGGCGAGAAATGCTGAATCACGTGTATTGGAGAATGGTTTTCATGATGGCACTAGATGGGTTTGGAATGTTAGTTGGCGAAGAGGACTCTTTCAACATGAGATCTCGAGCTTTAATCTTTTGTTGGAGCTTGTGGATGAAGTTTCTATTAAGTTACTACAAGAAGATAAATGAGTATGGAGGGCAGATTCTTCAGGTTGTTATTCAGTGCAATCTGCGTATTCATGGCTATTTGAACTTTTTGGTGGTCCTAATAGTGTAGATCAGTGTACGGCAGATGCCTTGCAAAGGCTATGAAGAGGGAAGGTCCCTCTTAAGTGTCTGGTTTTTTCTTGGCAATTGTTGTTGAATGCACTTCCTTGTAAAGGTTTATTGATTGACCGTGGTGTTCAAATTGATGATATAACTTGTTGTTTCTGTCATGGTTTGGAGGAACTTCCAACTCATTTATTTTTAACGTGCTCAGTTTCATCTCAAATCTGGTACTTTACTACGCGTTGGCTTGGATTCTTACTGGTTTTGCCTTCAGATTTATCGACTCACTTGCTTTCTTGGGTTGGTGTTGGCTGTAGTAAAAGAGAAGGAATATGCTTATTAATTATTTGGGTAAGTACAGTGTGGTCTTTGTGGTTGCATAGAAATAGAATTATATTTTCCAATGGTGTTTTGGATGAGAGGGAAGTCCTAGATTCTATTATTCTGAGATCCTGGAAATGGTTATCACTTGTTAGTAAGGGAGAAGTTATTATGTTAGCTGATTGGTATTTGAACCCACGAAATTGCATCTATCTTAATTTTGCATAAGTATATTTTTACTTTTTATTTCTCTGAGTTAGTAATTTTTTGTGTATATGGGTTTTGAGTTCCCCTTGAACTCTTTTTAATAAGATTTGTTTTGCCTATAAAAAAAAAAAATCAGTGTGATAGAATATAATTTTAATTGATAAGTTATACATTTTGAAATTAATGTATAGAGTAATAAGTAAGTGTAATCAATGCGAATGATTTTATACATTCTAAATTTTAATGTATAAAGTAATAAGTAGATGAAGTTACGTTTCAAAATTTAATAAACTTAGTAATAAATAGATGTTATCAAATTGTAACCTAAAAGAAATATTATTTATATATATATATATATATATATATATATATATAGCTCATAGTTATAAAGGAAGAATGAAGGAAACGAATTGTGTATATATATATATATAGCTCATAGTTATAAAGGAAGAATGAAGGAAACGAATTGTATTGATTAAATAGATTTTTTTCTTCTTAATTCTATTCTACAAACTATGTAAATGTTATTCTAGTAATACTTTTTCCACGGTAAGAAATACATTCCGAAATAATACATTACAAAGTTCATTTTTCCTAAATTCTTTATTTATTCTATTTTCTGATAATCCATAACCATTACAAAATGCTATTTGTAAATTTTTTAATTTTCTAACTTTAATACCTTATCTACCTTAAAAAATATTATTACTTACAAACAAATTTGGAAAACATTAACATCGAAGATATTTGACTACTGTAAGGTAAAAAATTTACATTAATTTAATAATTATGAAACTATCATATGTCATATATAAACTTTTTTTATATCATATTTACTAAATTTTAGATTCAGACGAGAATTAGTTACAGTAGCTAAATACGTTAAAAATAATTAATAGTTATTAGCTAGCATTAGATAATAAATATCTCTCAATAACAACTACTCAAACAGTATACAAATATTATGATTATAAGTTTAAATTGCTTAAAATATTTTAAGACACACTTTTTTTTCTTTAACCTAAACACACTTAAGCTTAAATGTTCACTTTCTTCTGATCTTGGATCAAGCCACATTAAAATTCTAATAGCTGGGCGATGGAGAGTCTGAAAAAAGTTGTCGGATTTCACTCGACTACGATGAAATACATATTGTTATAGACTATTAACTGGAATTATTATTGTGATGTAATATTGTTCCCGTATGACTCTGCGGTATGGATAGTGAAGCTGAAAGCATGTAGAAAAAGAAAGAAAAAAGTTTTAAGGTAATTTACTGCATTCTATGTGATCAGGATGAATGAGTAGCAAACAAAATTGTATCTCTTTACTGTCAAAGATAGAAAACAAGGTTTCTTTTCTTTTCTTTTTTTGTGAAAAAGGAAACAATGCTGTTAAAATAAAGATTTATGTAGTGTGTGTTTTTATTCACATTGAAAAACTAATAAACGTTGGATCCAACTCATAAGTTATAACTAATATACATGAAACCAAGTATGCACCGAGAAAAGACAATACTATCATAAGGCATGAATTTTAGTGGGAGCGTGATTGCTTTCATTATTAACATATTTATATAATTAATAGATCGGTTGTTATTCTTCTGTACCTTGATTTCTATAAACGGCTTCTGGAAAAGAAGATATTTCTTAGTTATCTATAAAAGTTGGAACCGCAAGTGTAAATTTCAAGTTCAGAAGAATTTTACTTTTATCAATTTTGTTAATGTTAACTTTTAGAACTGATTTGAAGCATATAAAAATGTAAAAATTTATATAAAAAGGAAATATTTATTATATAAAAAATATAACAAATTCTTTCTTCTTTCTTTCTCAATAAAACTTTCCTACTTTATATACAAAATATCCCTTAAGAACGTTAACCTTTTTCATTTTTATATACCCTAAAATTGACTTTAGGGACAATAGAATGTAGATAAAACGAGACAAAACGTGTGGAGGTTGGATGAATACTGAATTAGCAATGCTTATTGGTCTAAGATCTTTCATTTTTCACCATCACAACTGTTCACTCGACTAGTTTTCCTTAGTCATACGTTTGTAGTTTATAAACATTGACATTGATTAAATTATTCACCTTCACGAGATAATGGAGCAATTTTCCTATAGATATTTTAGCGTGGGAAGTACTACTATTATTAAAAAGTAAGACCAAATATTTACTTAGCTAATTATGAGAGCATGGATGGTTTTAGTTTCCATTCCAAGTGTGTATATTTTACAATGCTTCCAAGATGCGGTAGATTATGATATAGACTAGCCTAAAAAACAAAGTATGTTTAATTCACTTGATACAACAGATAGAATAAAAAGGAGCAAAAATAAATTATACCGTATAAATGATGAATTATATTTGCAATTTGATGAATTATACTGTCGCAGTAATTTGAATTAAACTAACAATGGGACCCATACCCTATTGTCCCCGCTTCAGTCACACTTGACAAAGTTTTACCCAACCCTCTAACTTTATATATATTTAATAATTAGATATAGCCTATCCAGAATCATAAATACTAATTTCTTATTGGATAGAAGAGGTATTTAATGATATTTTTGTGGATACTTGATCTGTTGGTAAGGTAATGGAAGGAAACAATTCTGAAGTGATAAATGGTGAGAGGAGAACCAAGTGGACAAAAATCCAAAGGAATGCTCAGAACCAGTAGAAGCACAGATACAGATTTCATACGATAAGGACCTCATTCAACTTTAAAACCTATATATAAAGCACAACCAAGGCAATCCAACTTCAGGCATCTTCTCAGCAATTTCAGTTACACATTGTTTCATTGATTTAACTTAATTGCAATGGCTGCCTCAACAATGGCTCTCTCTTCTCCATCATTGGCAGGGCAAGCAATAAAGCATGCCCGATCCACCCCAGAGCTTGGAAGTGGAAGGCTCACAATGAGGAAAGCAGTCACCAAAACTTCTGGAAGCCCATGGTACGGCCCAGACCGTGTCTTGTACTTGGGCCCACTCTCTGGCACTCCCCCATCCTACCTCACTGGTGAATTCCCAGGTGACTATGGCTGGGACACTGCTGGGCTTTCCGCTGACCCAGAGACATTTGCCAGAAACCGCGAACTTGAGGTCATCCACTGCAGATGGGCCATGTTGGGAGCCTTGGGCTGCGTCTTCCCCGAACTCTTGGCCCGCAATGGGGTCAAGTTCGGCGAGGCCGTGTGGTTCAAGGCTGGATCCCAGATATTCAGTGAGGGTGGGCTTGACTACTTGGGCAACCCAAGCCTGATCCATGCACAGAGCATCCTTGCCATCTGGGCCTCCCAAGTCATCTTGATGGGTGCCGTTGAGGGTTACCGTATTGCCGGTGGGCCTCTCGGCGAGGTCACTGACCCACTCTACCCAGGTGGCAGCTTTGACCCATTGGGCCTTGCTGATGACCCAGAGGCTTTTGCTGAATTGAAGGTGAAGGAGATCAAGAATGGTAGATTAGCCATGTTCTCCATGTTTGGGTTCTTTGTTCAGGCTATTGTGACCGGAAAGGGTCCTTTGGAGAACCTCGCTGACCACCTTGCTGACCCAGTCAACAACAATGCTTGGGCCTATGCCACAAACTTTGTTCCCGGAAAGTGAGCAAAAACCTTCACTGAGACAATGAAGAACACCAGTGACATGCAAATCTTGAGTGAGATTTTCGTGTTGTTATTTGGTAAAATTTATATTAGATGTATCCTTCTGAAGAGAATGTGAATTATATATATTTTGGGTTTGTTTAGATCTTTCTTCAAGTTTGAATCGTTAATGCATTTTATTGTGATCATTGGATTGTGCTTCTGTATAGAAATGTGATACATCTATTTGTATTTTTTTAAATATAATGGTAAGTATTTTTAATATTGAGACTAATTTGTAAATAACACAATTACTGGGAGCAAATGTATATTAAAAAAAAAAAGAAGCTATTGTAATGACGTAGAGATTGAAATACCCTGTGAAATTCAAACCAATGAATGTAATCAAATATCTAGCATTTTTATAAAATCCAGAGACCACAAGAGTCAAATAAAACCGACGGATAGGTGAGTTACTGCATAAGCACTGGAGCATCTCCATAGCATTCAAAGTCAAACAGCATTGAGAGATTAATCAGCCAAACAAGGCCTTATATAAACTGAATATTTCATCTCAGTAATAAATTAATAATGCTTATGAAGAATTGAATTTCATTTTCACGAAGAGAAAATAAAAAATCAGAAGGGGGAATTGAAATGAACTTGAATAATTTGCGTTAGCGAGGTTCGTCAATGGGCAAAAATGGAAGGAGGAAGGAAAACCAAAGGTGTCGAGGATTGAGCACCAAGGCAGAACGAGAGGGAATAATCAAACACGTCACAAGGCTGAAAATTTCCTAATGTTTTGTTGCCGGAAAGGAATAGGGTTCATTGTTTGGATTAACTTTTATCATCACTTTAAAATTTTTCTCCTAAAATTAATAAAATTAAATTGAGTCAAGCATGAGTTAATTAATTTTTACAAGTAATATACTTAAATTAGTTTTTGAAATTGTTTGTTAGTTTTTTAAATTATAAAAATATATTATTTTAATTTTAAATTTTATCATCTTTTTAACGTCAAAATTAACTTGTATTCTCAAATTTTTGTCTTTTTTTTATATTTCTATATTAGAATTTATTTTAAAAAATAATAAAAATATTTTTTTCTTTATTTATATAATTTTACATGTATTTATACATAAATTTCTTTAAACTTCGTATACCAAATCATTAACTTTATTAAAAAAAATCATAATTAACAAAACTAGATTAATGATTAAATTACGTAACAAAGATAAATATATTATATATCATATATAATATTATAAGTGAGTCACCTTGTAAAACTTAAACTAGAATTTTGTCTAAAACTTATAAATGAAAATATGCTAAGGGGTCTAGAATTGGGGAAATTTATTTTAATAGTGTAATTTTATTAACAATTTATCACTTTATATGCAATCTAAAACAATTTTCTACTCTGGAGTTATTTTAGATTACATGGCCATATGTTTTAGCATATCGTATGGCGAATATATATATATATATTTTATTCTTAACTGAATTTATCAAGAGAGTTGTGAAATTTATAAGATTATGACACATGTCACGCAGAGAAGAATTTCGTATATCTGATGGCAAAAATGTCTTTTTTAATTTATTGTTAAATAAATTTTGCCACAAGACTGACGAAATAAATGAGAGTCTGACATGTGTCAACAGGTTATTTAAATTCATGATTTTAGTTGTGAAATTCTTAAGTAAATCGCTAGCCAACCTACAAAACTTAGTCCAATTACCAAAATTTTCATAAATTATATGGCAAAATTTGAACATTATATATATACACCCCACCCTCCTCTCATTTTCACCCAAGAAGAGTAAAGTAGAAGAAAATCAGGTATGTTTAATTTAATAATTTTATTATTTAATTTTTAACATATGAATTTAGTTTTTTTAATTAAATAAATTGTTAAATTAATTAATGAGTATTGTTTATTTGATTTATGTTAATTATTGTAAAGGTTAAATATTAAATAAAGTTTATTTGTAAAAATGCAGGATGAGTGAGATTGTTATTATTATATATTGGAATGGTAGAATTTATGAAGGAAATGAAGGAGTAAGTTTTGAAGGAAGTAAAAAAGTAATTCGAATAAAACGAGGAATAAGTTATGAAACATTGAAAAGAAAAATTCATCTGAAACTTAATCTTAACCATAATCAAGTTTTTTTTATATTAATTTCTTATTTTTTGATTGATGAAAATATTAGACAGTATACAGCTTTAGATATATGTGATAATGAAGATATTGATTGCATGATAAGTGAATTTCGACAACAATCTAGTAAAAATATTATTGAGTTATATGTAGATAGAGCTATTGGTGGAAGTTCATCAATGTCCTTACAGACGACGAATTAAAATTTATCGCTTTCATAGCAAAATGATAGGACGCTTGTGAGTCGTGATTATGATAAAGGTAAAATTATTTTTGTTGTACTATCTTTTAAGTAAAATATGTAATTAATTAAATTAAAATTGATAAATTTGTTGTAATAAAGGAGTTAGGAATGATGCTGATGACGATAATGAACACTCAAATTATGAGAGTTACACTGATGGAGATGATGAAGCAGAAATTTCGTTAGGTAGTTCTTCTTGTACTAATGTTGAAGGCGAGTTTCATTCCAACTTAGATATACAAGTAATCGAATGTAGGAGGTAATGTGAAATAATTATAAAAATTTTATTTTTTGTAGTTATTTATTTATATATTAATGTTTAATATAATGCAGGAGATACTGTAATTCCCTTTTGGAATGTTACTCCAAAGTATAAGTATATTAATTGAGAATATCCTGATCAAGAAATGAATGAAGAACATGTTTAAGAAGTCAATTCAAGGGTTTAAGGAGATCCTTTATTTGTTGGCTTATTATTTGACAATAAAGAAGATGTGAAAAATGCGTTAAAACAGTACACAATGAAAATTCATCAAAGTTATTTTGTGACTGAGTCTAAACCAACATGTTTGTATGTTAAATGCTTAAAACATAGCAGTGGTTGTCCATGGAGAGTGAGGGCTTCATTGTTGAAGAATTTAAACAAGTGAAAAATTAATAGGTGGGGTGGTTCACATACATGTGTTAATATGAGAATTTCGCAAGATCATCAGAAGTTAGATTCCAATTTAATTTGTTCATGCATTCTTGGTAAGAAAAATATTTTATTTTTTTATTTTTACAATGACATTATTATTAACTTGAGAAAATTTATTTTATGTAGGAATGGTGAACGAAGAACCGTCGGTACATATTTCATTGATACAAGAGCAAATATATGATCAGTTTGGATACAAAATTTCATATAAAAAAGTTTGGAAGGCGAAGCAAAAAGCCATTGTTAAAGTATTTGGTAATTAGAATGAATCATACGCTATCTTGCCTCGTTAGGTAGAATACATGCAATTACATTCTTTTGGATCTGTTTATAAAATTAAAACAAAAGAGTATGTGGTTGGTCATCAAGTGGATAACAGGTGTAGAGTATTTGAACGACTATTCTGGTCATTTGAACAATGTCATGAGACTTTTAAATTCTGCAAACCTATATTACAAGTGGATGGGACATTCGTATATGGTAAGTATCGTCATACGTTACTCATTGCAACAACTCAAGATAGAAACCTTGCCAACATGAGAATGGTTTTTGGCATTGATTCGTTTGCATGTTACCAATAGAGCAGGAATTTGTTTGATATGAGATAAACATCAAAGTATAAAAGGGGTTGTGCCAAATCCACACATTGGGTGGCAACCTCCAAATGCATATCATGTATATTACATTCGTCATATTGTCAGCAACTTTAATCATCGATTTAAAAATATAGCATTGAAGAAAGAGCTCATCAAATTGGGTATGTATTGTTTTTTTTATGTCGATTATTGTTAAAGTATTAGATAGCCATTGAATCCGTCAGTACATCTTTTGATTGGGATGAATGTTGTCTATGTAGGTTATACACCATCAAAGGTCATATTTCAGCAAAAGTTAACTAGATTTCACAATGAATCTGAAGATATACAAAGGTGGATTGACTGCATATCAAAAGAGAAATAGGCATTATGTTATGATGACTAAGGGCGGCGTTATGGGCACGTGACTACAAATCTTTCAGAATCAGTAAATAAGGTGTTGAAAGGTGCTAGAAACTTGCCCATAAATGCACTAGTTAAAGCCACCTATGGACGATTGGTTGAATATTTTATGAAGCGGGGAGAAGAGGCCATCTCTGACCTTCACAATGGAAGCATGTTCTGTCATAAAGTCATGTTGCAAATTCAAAAAAATCAATAAGAAGCTTCATCACACTAAGTTCGTCGATATGACATATAGAGAAAAAGTTTTGAGGTTGAAGAAGCTTTTAATCTAATAACACAAAAGGGTGGACACAAATGGATAGTTATATTGGATAGGAAATTCTGCGAATGTGGAAGATTTCAATCTTATCGATTTTCTTGTTCACATGTGATAGCGGCCTGTATAGCTGTGAGTATCGATTTTTGGCAATATGTGGACTCAGTTTATTCAATGCAATATGTTGTAAATGCATACTCCCCACAGTGGTACCCCCTTGGAAATGAATTTAACATCCTTACCAACTGCGAATGGAAGTTAGTGCCTGATGTTGATAAAGCAAGAGGTGAAGGCTGACCAAAATCAACTCGCATTAGGAATGAAATGGACTGGGTTGAGTCACAAACTAGGCAAAGGTGTTCCAAATGTAACGAAGTAGGTCATAATTGACACTATTGTCCTCAACAAAACAATGTTGGTTATCCATATCATATAAGTTGGTGTTTGTATTTTTTTTTATCTTATGAGATTGTTATTTATCCTAATTGTCATTAATCATTGTAATGAAAGCATAAAAACTATATCAAGTAAAGGCACAAACTAATTATTAATAAGACAAAGCATACAAGTCACAAACAAAGTATGGGTGAACTAAAAAAGGTTGCTACATATAAACATGTCATTGCTGCCCCCCTCTATGTGCCCGATAATGATGATTCTCAGGAGTCAAGATGCATTGCCTCTGTCTATCTCGAGCTCCTCGATGAGGGTTCTGACCAACCTCTCCTAAATTAGCAATGGCACCAAACTTGGCATTAAGATCAATACCTGACTCTATAGGATATATGTCTGATGGTATAGGATCAGGTTGTATGTATGGGGTACCTGGAGTCAAAAGGGAATGGT